CTGCGTAAACTAACCCCAGTTTAAAGCATTAAATGTAGCCAACAAAATTACAAAATATACTGTTCTGACCTCTGTTCAATATAAGCTGATTTTCTAAACAGAATATCAACAAATACCAATTTACTGCAAAAAATGAAAAATCAAAATCAGTGGATGATTGTTGGATTTTAGAACCCGCAAAGGAAGTACAACTAAAACATCCTCAAAGTTAACATACAGCCATAAAAAATGCAAGAAAACATGCGGGAAAAGTGGTTACAGTACATATACATAAACACACCTAATTATCATCATCTAGGGAAAAATTATAGTCTATTCCTAGAATAAAATAAAAGAATAAAGATGTTCAAAACAATAGTAATCAAAATGAACCATAAAGAAAGCATGATTTTCAATTAGAACATTCATAAATTATTTCTTTATATGTACACTTTAAGATTTATTTTACTTTTGAAAGGCAGAGTTACAGAGAGGGAAAGAGAATGAGAGTGAGAGATCTTCCATCTGCAGGTTTGCTCCCCAGATATTCTCAAAGGCCAGGGTTGGGCCAGAACAAAGTCAGGAGCCAGGAGCTTTTTCCAGGTTTCTCACGTGAGTGCAGGACCCCAGGCACTTGGGTTGTCTGCTGCTGCTTTCCCAGGCCATTAGCAAGGAACTAGATTGGAAGTGGAGCAACTGGGAAACAAACCAGAGCTCCTATAGGATGCAGGCATCATAGGCAGCAGCTTCACCTACTATGCCACATGCCAGGCCCTCTTTTTTTTTTTTTTCTTTTTTTTTCCTTTTTTTTCTTTTTTTTTTTTAATGTGATATGTCTTAAAGCAGATGAATGGTGACCATAGCAATATTTTTGGATTAGGTTTCTCAAGCTGTATTACTCTGTATTACTATTCACTCACAAAATATTTTGTAACATACTAATTTTTCTTATAATTTCTCTATTTTCTAATGTTTCCTGTTGTCATCTAAATTATTTTTAGGAAACAAGAGAAATGTCAAACATAATGGAAGTATGCCAAAGGGAAAGTTTAATAATTAAATAAGTAAAAACTAAAAAGAGAGATAGAGAACTTTATTTCTTTTTCGTTATATAATGGATATCTCAAGACAATTGGGTAGTCCATTGAGTCTCTAAATTAGAGAACATTTGGATGTTTCTGACAGTGTTCAGATTTTGTTTTCATCCTCTGAGATACTGAGATTCACTAGGGAAACCTAGCATTCCAAATGTGTTAGAAAATACATAATGTGTCAACACATTGTGACATGGGAGTGATACTAGTAAAAGCTGTTTGGGTCTATTAATAACATAAAACCAGCTCATTCTAATAGCAGGAAAAATAGTAAATTCCAATTTTTTCTGTTCTTTTTATTCTATGCTTCTGCAACATTATCTTATAAATTAAGAGAATGCGTACAATTTAAAAATAGATATAAGATGTTTTGTATGGAAATTTCCTCTTTTAATTCTATCCATAACTATTTTTCCATACATTGTTTCTTTTGTCTCATTTATATTACCTCTTGTTATTTCTACTGCATTATCTTGTTGTTACTATTCAGATGACAAATAAGAGAATAATATTTTGCAATATTTATGAATTGACACCAATATTGACTCACAAAATTCATTTGTTGACTAATTCATCCTTCAGACTCCACCTTTTATGAAATTGATAAAGAAAGGAGAGAACAGGAGCAATAAGTAAATGAATTTGATCTAAACAGAATGTGTTTATGGTAGGAAAATGTTAACAGGTGTAATGAATCAGTAGGCACCTTATTTCATTTGTAGATAAAATAATTGAGTTACCTTTTCCAAATTTTCCTCTATGTCTACATGGACAATTTGCAGAGAGGTGCCTAATGTTTATTAACAATATTGTCTTATTTATTATTATTCATGTTTATGACTTGCTTAAGTTTGAGAAACCTTGTTTAGAATCAAGTGTGTTGGAGCTGGCACTGTGGCATAGCCTGCATCCCATATGGGTGCTGATTCAAGTCCTAGATGCTCCTCTTCTGATCCAGCTCTCTGTCATGGCCTGGGAAAGCAATAGATGATGGCCTAACTCCTTGAGTCTCTGCACCCATGTGGGAGACCCAGAAGAAGAAGACCCAGAAGAAGCTCCTGGATCCTGGCTTCAGATCAGCTCAGCTCTGGGTGTTGGGTCATTTGGGGAGTAAACCAGGAGAATGGAAGACATCTCTCTCTCTGGCTCTACCTCTCTTTGTAACTCTGGCTTTCAAACAAAACAATTCTTTGAAAAAAAAATCAAATGTGTCTAATTTTTTTTTCATTGCTGGTAGAACTTCAAATTTCCAATCTTTATTAGCACATGAAGTTGCTTCCATTTTATCAATAGACATTTTGGAGAGATGACATTTAAGCCTGCCTGGACATATACTGATTATTGCAGCTTCTACAAAAATGTATGTAACTGATGTGATATATGACAAGGTGACCCAGTGCTTATGATAGTAGTGATAATAAGGAGACAAGAAAACCCAGCACTGTTGTCACCTCAGTTCAGTGAGCAAAAATGAACAACAACCAAAAAGCTGCAGAATTTTTCCCCTTGGGTAACTTATTTTTTGTTAGGTTTGTTCTCTCATTATTATTGTAAATTGAATTAACTTATTTCATCAATTTTAGTCTCATCTTTAATATGCTAAGATATGTCAAATGTGTCCAATTGCATTGAACAATTTGGATACATTCTATTTTAATCTTATTGACTATATTGATCTCATTCTACTCCTCAAACAACACAGCCAAAAATATGCCATCCATTTCAGTAAATGAAACCTCTGGGTGAAGGTTAATTACACGGCTTCTAAATGAAACAACTGAAAAGAGACAATGGTCAATTGAAAATAGACCCTAATAAAGTATGTGCATTTCCCCTTACACCATAAGGATTGGAATTATAAGCCACAGATGCCAGTTCCCAGTTACCCATGCCAGCTGGGGGTGCATTCGCTCCCACTCTTCCCCATTGGATTTGAAAACTGCTTAATTATCTTTATATTCCAAGGGCTGCTTTGCCAGCAGGGCTCTGAGATCTAAATCCTTTCTCAGATAACAGAGATAGTTTCCATTTATCTGTTTAAAGATAGGCCTTTTTCATGCATATACATATTTGACTGTCATAAAGTAAGAGGAAGAACATTATGTCTATCGAATTAAAAAGAATGCATGAGATTTGCTCTTTGTGTGTGTGTAAGGGAGATTGGGGAGAGAGAAGCGAGCTGGCACTCTTTCAGGGACAGACTAGCTATTTGCTATTCCACAGTTGCTTCAGGAATCTGCGGTGGCAGCTGGTAGCGCTTCTCTGATGGCCACGCTTCCAGGAAACAGCAGAGCTAAGACTTAACCTAAAACAATAAACCAAATCCTATTAACAAATTACTGCCCCTCCCCTCCTTTATACCAATCCCTTTCCAGAAAACATCTGTCTTCCTGGTTTCCATTTTGCATGCATCAAGTAATTCTAAAGTTCACAACTTCCTGAATACTTTTCTGTTCTTCATTTTAAAGCAAGTTTTTCTCACCATCATCTGGCAACCTTTCTACAGTATTTAGGTATTTTTTTCCTCTAAAGATTTATTTATTTCAAAGGCAGAAAGGTAGAGATAGAGAGACAGAAATAAAAATTTTCTATCCACTGGTTCACTCCCAAAATGTCCACAACATCCCACGGATGGGGCAGGCCAAAGTCAGGAGCCAGGAACTCTATCTGAGTCTTCAAGTGGGTGGCTGAGTCCCAAGTACTTGGGCCATCATTTGCTGCATCCAGCTGGGATTCATACCAGCACTCTACTATGGCAAGCTGGCTTTGCAAGCAGTGTTTTATCCTGCTGTACAGTACTAACTCCAATTGTATTTAGTTCTACAGTAGTCTCCCCTTAGCCATGAGAGATGCATCCTAAGACTCCTGGTGGAGGCCTTGAAACCACAGGTAGTGCTAAACTATGTAATACTATTTTTTCCTGTGCATATATACTTATAGTAAAGGTTAATTTATAAATTATGCACAGAAATTAGCAATAATAACCAATTACAAAATAGAACAATTGTAATGATATAATAAAATTATGTGAATGTGGCCTTCCTTTGTCTCTGAAAGTATTTTCTTCTGTAGTAGCCACTCTTCTTGTGATGATGTGAGATGGTAGAACACCTCTGTTACGAAATGAAGTAAAATGAAGAACACGGGCTTGCGACATAGTTAACACTGAGTTACTATGTAATGATAACATGAACCCAAGCTACTGTAATTCCAAGTCAGTCAATATGGTAACAGATAATGTCTTAAAAGCTAGGTGGTTGGTAGAGTATACAGCATAGATATGCAGGAAAAAGAGATAGAGGAGATGGAGCACAGTGTGAGATTTAATTATGCTACTGAGGACAATGTATAATTTATAAAGTATGACTGTTTTATTCCTAGACTTTTTTGTTTAATATTTACAAACAATGGTTGAATATTGTTGACCAGAACTGTGAAAAGTAGAATCATGGAGAAAGAAAGATTACTGCACTGTCTGTATCAAAATACTCTGCTTACATACAAGGCAATGGAGAAAGCACATGTGTGATGAAGGCAAGCTGAAATTTTTGTGTTGCAGTTGATTTCTCAACAATGCTGCAGTGGATTCGTTTCTGAGAGGAGCGTGGTGGGGGCAAGAGGTGCGGAGTCACCACACAGACCCTGGGAGTCGAGTGAAAGCAGGCCTGAGGCGAGCAGCCCGCAGACTCATTTATTTGAGTTAGTACAACAGCTTAGATAGCCAAGACCAGCCAATCAAGTCAAGGGGCGGTATATGCCCCAACCAATCACAGCCTGTTGCCAGGCAGTTTCCAAAGCCATCCAATCACAGCCTGTTGCTAATCAGACTCTTGTTGCCAGGCAGTTTCTGAAACCATGCAATCATGGCCTGGTTTCATCAGGCTCTGTTTTCATGTGGTTTCCTCTGTTGTCATGTGGTTTCCGAAGCCATCCAATCACGGCCTGTTGCCAAGCAGTTTCTGTTGTCAGCGGCCATCTTGGCATGACCTTTTCACCTCAGTGGCCATCTTGGCATAAACTTTTCACCTCATTCCACCACCTCTGTCTATATCAAAATACTCTGCTTACATACGATGCAATGGAGAAAGGACATGTGTGATGAAGGCAAGCTGAAATTTTTGGGAGCAATGATATGAAATAATGTAAGACCATAATACCTTCAGACACATTTAGATTTAAGTACATCCACATCCCAGAATGCATTCTTCATTATTTTAGTTTGCACTGGGAGAGATTTTATTTTACTTTAAGTACATTACTAGCTTTTAATCTCTGTGTGCCCATGATGTTACAAGATAGTTGCCACTCATTTTTATTGCATGGCCATATATGTACAGTTAACTACAAGGATGTTAAGATTCATGGATCAACACTGCTTCATTCTGAATTCTATTTTTTTAAATATAGTTGTAAATATTCAATCGAGGTTTCTTATTGGAGACTTTCTTCAGATGGGCACTATATAGGTACATTGTTTTAATTTTGCTGTTCAAAAATGCCTTTCTATTGCTTGACACGCATTTGGTACCCTGCTTGCAGTCTTGAGAGTTGGATTGTAGTGTTAAAATCTCAATTGTCTATGGAGGTTCTTCCTTTTTCTTCCATTTTCTGCTATTGCAGATGAGAAGCCCTGTGTTTTGACTGCTTTATTTTAACATTTTGTTGATGTGTAATCAGTTGTCATTGCCCTAGAAGACTGATTTTTTTTTAAATCACAGAAGATAGGATTTTACCAAGCTCTTGCTTTCTACATATTTCCCAGTAACAATCTAGTACATACTAGGGACATGATAAATATTCAGAACATAAGAGCAAATATTCGTTAATTACCTAATGCTAACACTAAATACTATGATATATAGAATAGGCATTTCTATTGTTCCTGATTAACTTTTGAATATTATAAGGAAAGTGGCCAATCTGACATTTAATTACAAAGCATACTAAGTTGGAACTGTTTAGTAATTCAATAAAGTTCTCTTTGTGAAAATAAATAAATTAATTGTTTTAGTGTATCATATAGAGGGCATCTGGGCTTCTCAATAAAATTTATTGCCCTCTTTGTTTTCTTGTATTGCCTTAACAATCAAATATCTTGACTTCTTTGCTTAGTAAGACAGGTGTCATCCTTCCATTCTGTATCGTGTGTCCTCTTTCAGTTGCGCATTTAGTTGGTCGCTATGGCTAATACACAGAAAGTAATTTTGGCCGAAGCTAAGCCAACAGTTACATAAATCTGAAAATCAGGCCATATTCTAGTGCTGTATCCAGCTTATATGAGAAGCTATAGAGTTGTTAGGTTTAGATATGGGAAGGAGCCAGATTGTTCGAAGTCAGGAAAGAGCTTAGGAAAAGGCTAGAATCCAGAAAGAGCACCAGGTGTGGACACTGCGGCACAGCAGTTAACACTGCTAGGATGCTTGCATCCATATTAGAGTGAATGAAACTGAATCCCACCTCTGCTTCAGATCCAACTTTTTATTACTGTGCACCTTGGAAGGGAGTGGGTAATGACTCAAGTAATTGAGCACCTGTCACCCACATGGGAGACCTGGGTGGAGTTCTTAGTTCCTGGCTTCTCCCTGGCCTTGTCCCAGCTGTTGCAGCCATTTGGAAAATGAATCCGAGAATGAAAGGTCTCTCTCTTACTCTGCCTTTTAGATAAATAAACTTTAATGAGACACCGTGGAGAACAGATAAATGGTCTTGAAGAAATATATCGAATCATACTAACACATGAACCTGTGTGCAATGGGCAGTACAGAACAAAAACAGATTCATGAAGTGAACTAACCTGAAGCAACACTGTAGGAGTCTCATCCAACAGAAGTACTGTCGGAGAAATCTGATAGTTATATGACAAGCAGGTATAGAAAATACATAATCTTTATTTTGTCAAAATGCTTTTTATTTAAAGAGGGATATAGCAGCTGATAAACATGTAATAGAATGAGTCACTAAACTTTTTGAAACAAAAATGTCTTCATGTAGTTTAGTATTTGATTTATATTTTGGCTAACATAAGACATATTAGCTTTTATTTAAGGTTTGGTTGTTTTTCCACATTTTAAAGAATCTCTTTAGAAAGTAGTTACTGGGTATATGCGGTTCCTTGAGACTTTCAGGGCATCTGCTGGGGTTATAACTGAGATTGCCTTAAAAAATAGCATTGGCCTGACCAACATGGACAAAAGTCCCTGTCAGAATAGAGCAGCAGCTATGTTTATTGATATGTGCTAGATAAATTAGGTATGAAAAGATGCATAATCAACATGCAATTTTATTATGGGATTTGTGAAACTTGAAAAACCTAATGCTTTTATGTTACTTAGAAATTGTGTCCTCAGATAACAATGTAAATGCTTACATTCACATATTGTGAATGTAAATTAATAAAAGAATATATCATTTAAAAATTACAGCAATTCTACAGATTTTGTGGTTCACTTTCCACACTGCAATTGTTGTCATCATCTAAAACAACACATATGATTGCCTTAAAGGCATTATACTCTTAGAAAGTGCATTCAATATATGTGTGGTCTATGCAGATAGGAATATGTGTTAACACATGTCATTCTGGTTTGAGTTGAAGGATTCAAATGTTTATTTATTTATTTTTCATCTACTTGAAATGCAGAGACAGACAGATGGGGGTAGGGAAAGAGAGAAAGAATCTTCCATTTTCTGGTTCACTTTCCAAATACCTACCACCGCAAGAACTGGTTCTGGATGAATCCATGAGCCTGGAATTCCATCTGGGACTTCCATGTGGGTAGCAGGAGCCTAAGCACCTGAGCCATCATCTGCTGCCTCCAAGGATGCAGTAGCAGGAAGCCGGATGGATGGCAGAGTAGCTGGGGCTTGAAGTGGCACTCCAATATGGGATGCAGCCACCTCAAGCAGCGGCTTAATCAGCTGCCCCACAATGGAGGGCAAGGATAGCATGAAATTTAGTCAATACAGTTTTACTAATGAATAACATCTGTTAAGTCATCAGTTAATATTACTGAAGGCTTGTTGGATGTTTTCAGAAGGTAAATGGAATGACTAAAAGGTACACATTTAAAAAATACATTTTTCAGATATTTAACAATGTATAAACATCTTTAAAATTATACAAAATAGAATAAAAAGTCATTAACCTTTAAGTTCTAAGTAAAATAGTTCAATAAAATAGTTAGCAATGAAACTACTATTAACAGCTTGGTGAACTTCATTGAAATAAATAAATGACCGCTTACATAATGCAATGTATTTCTTAGTGGATCTTATCTTTTAGCTACAGAAAGCATGAAGGGAGAACATGCAGAGAATCCATGTAATTCTGCTTAATTACACAGAACTATGAAAAAGATTTGTGAATTACTGATCTTTATTTTAAGATAAACATCTTTTATAAGAGAACATAATACAACAAAATATTACTTATCTAGATATAGATAAGTATGTATGTGAAGGTACTTCAAAAAGTTCATAACAATACAACTAAATGATCAGATCATTTGGGAACAAAATATCAAAATCTAGGATTAATATATTCTTATGAATTATCTATAAAAATTAAATATATCAGATATTATATTGCTATTGAGTGAATCAGATGGTGTATTAACACAGAAATATACTTTTGAAAATTCATCTCCAGCATCAGTTTCATGACAAATGGACATGAACTAGAGATACTTGATAAAAACAAATTTCATTGTGTATTTGAGGTTTACCTACAGATATGATGGGATACATTTTTATAGTCAAATGTTTACTGTAGTTTAGCAGATAAACATACTCATAATCTCACTATTTTTGTGACAAAAGCAGGTAATTTGCATATTAAAATCCTTATACAATACAATTTTATTAAATTTTATTTTCATGTTTTATATTAGATGTCTACATTTGTTCATTCTACAAATCTTCTGTTTGGTATCCTTTAACCTACATCTGATATATGGATAATTTGCACTAAAAATTTACAAGTGCTGTTTTCAGAAAGGCCCCAGAGAAATATTCTTCAATTTGAGAGATCAGGAAACATAGTTTTTGATGAAATCCATAGAGTGACCTTCAATCAGCATTATCTTTGTTTTCTTGTATGATATAATAAAAAAATGCTGTGAACAATAAATAGAGAATGATCACATAGATACATAAGAAAGAGTAAGATCTTAAAATAAATAACCATATGCTCCAGTTTCTGAGAAAGGAAGTAGAGTTTACAGACAGAACAGGAGAAAATCTTCAAAGAAGTAGGACATCACAGAAAAAAAGAAGAAATGAGTTTGAGGAGACAAGAGCAAGTTTTTAGAAGATTTGATAGTGGTCCAGTGCTGCGGCATAGCGGGTAAATCTGCTGCCTACAGTGCTGGCATCCCATATGGGCACCGGTTCAAGTCCTGGCTGCTCCACTTCTGATCCAGCTCTCTACTATAGCCTGGGAAATCAGTAGAAGATGGACCCAGGTCCTTAGGCCCCTGCAACCATGTGCAAGAACTGGGAGAAGCTCCTGGCTCCTGGCTTTGGTCAGCCCAGCTCCAGCCATTGCATCCATTTGGGGAGTGAACAAGCAATTGAAAGAGTCTCTCTCTCTTTTTCTCTCTCTCTCTCTTTGCCTTTTCCTTTCTGTAACTCTGCTTTTCAAATAAGTAAATACATTTAAAAAAAGTTTGATAAGAATAATGAAGAGAAAATAATAAATTATTGCACAGTGTCTTATTTCAACTTCTCCTTTTAGAAGGTAAAGAACTGTACTCTTCTTATAATTCATTATAAAATTTTTATTTTTATTTTTTTTTCATTATAAAATAAAGAAAACTGTGGGATGAAATGTTCTGTGATTTCCGTTTCATCCATATTGTAGATTAGTTTTGTTGTTTCTTTGTTAATTTTCTGTCTAATTGTTCTACTCATTGTTGAAAGTGGGGTGTTGAAGTCTTCCATTACTACTGTATTGAAGTCTATGTCCTTTTATGTCTATTAACATTTGTTTTAAATAGCCAGGCACCCTGGGCCAGCACTGTGGCACAGCGGGTTAACATCCTGGCCTGAAGCATCAGCATCCCACATGGGGGCCAGTTCTAATTCCGGCTGCTCCTCTTCCAATCCAGCTCTCTGCTATGGCCTGGAAAAGCAGTGGAAGATGGCCCAAGTCCTTGGGCCCCTGCACCTGCATGGGAGACTGGGAGGAAACTCCTGGCTCCTGGCTTCTGATTGGCACAGCTCCAGCCATTGTGGCCAATTGGGAGTGAACCAGAGGATGGAAGACATCTCTCTCTCTGCCTCTCCTCTCTCTCTGTGTAACTCTGACTTTCAAAAAACTAAATAAATCTTTAAAAATAATAGCCAGGTTCCCTGGCACTGGTTGAATATACATTTATTATAGTCACATCTTCCTGTTGAATTGGTCCCTTAATCATTATATAGTGTTCTTCTTTGTCTCTTTCAACAGTTTTTGTATTAAAGTTTATTTTGTCTGATACTAGGATGGCTATACCTGCATTTTTTTTTCTTTCAGTTAGCATGGAATATCTTTTCCATCCTTTCACTTTCAGTATGTGTCTTTCTTGTTTTTTAAGAACTGGGTCTTGTTTTTTTAATCCATTCACCCAACCTGTATCTTTTAATTGGAGAGTTCAGACCATTTACAATCAAGGTTACTATTGATAAATAACAACTTGGCCTTGTCATTTTTCCATGAATATTCCTATTGTTTTTCTGGATTCCCTTTCTACTTCTATTGGGAGACTTTCTGCTTTCACATAAAATAAAATAAAATAAAATAAAATAAAATAAAATAAAGACTTTGGTCAGTTTCCCCAGTGACCCACTTGATAATGACTCACATCTATTAAAATCTATCCATCTAACTAGGAATAACTATAGATAACCACCAAAGAAAACCCCATTGAATTGCTAATTTATAGATAACCATATTGATTTTAAGAATGAATCTTAAGATTGTTGGCACTAACTGTTGATCCTCTCATAAATTCCACCAGCTACTGCCCATTTCTGTTTATTCTTATGGAAAATAAATATGCTTTTAAAAGATGTTTAGATTGTGACTTGAAAGGTTTTAAAAACTGTGGAAAATGAATCTTGATGTGAATGGAAGGGGAGAGGGAGTGGGAAAGGGGAGGGTTGCGGGTGGGAGGGACATTATGGGGGGGGGAAGCCATTGTAATCCATAAGCTGTACTTTGGAAATTTATATTCATTAAATAAAAGTTAAAAAAAAGAAAATAAAAAAAAAAACTATGGAAAATATCAGGGGAGCTACCCAGGTAAGAGACCTAGATGGAGCTCCAGTCTCCTGACTCCTGCCTGGATCCACCCTGCCTATTGTTACCATTTGGGGAGTGAACCAAAGGATGGAAGATATTTCTCAGTTTCTCTCCCTCTCTCTTTCTGAAATGAATGATTGGATGAATGAATTAATGATAAATAAATATATAAAACATTTTAAATGATAAAAACATGGGAAATGTAGAATTACATTTGCAGTCCTTTGTTACACATACTAAGTTACACATATTAAATGTACAAATTTAGATTACTACTTAAACCACATGTCTGTAGTCATGGAAATAGACTTCATAATTATTTCATTTTGATATACCATATCAAAATTTGTAAGACTAATATGAATATTTTTTTAAGATTAACATACAAAAAAGAGTAATGTAATAAGTGAAACTTTTGGTATTTGACCAAATCTCCAACTGAGTATTCCCTATGGCTATATTATCCACAACACAATAACAATCGTAAATAATGCTTATTAAAAAACCTACCTTTCTTTCTTGTAAAGTAAGTGATTAAATGAAAGGTTAAACTTAAAGGAAACTGGAAAAATGCTTCTGTGATAC